GATGGCCCACAGCTGGCAGAATTCTAGACCCGAAAGTAGGGTTGCCAGACCGCCCTGGATCCAGCCTGGCCCTAGCATTTGGGGCTGCACACAGTCCTGCGAGCCCAAGAGCACAAACTTGTTTTGGGACATGAGTAAATCTCAAAGGGGTCTGGGTAGGGTGGGGGTCACTGTCCCACTGCCCTCACACACTCCCTGGCTATATCTGCCCTTTACCTCACCCATCGGTCACTCCCAAATCTATACTGCCCTGTTCACACGTTTCAGTTGTGACTGTCTGCAGAGTGGAGACCCACAAGCACTGCCCCCCCCTCCACACACACGTGGGCTCTTCTGAGAGCCCCACCCTCTGGTTCACAAGCAGTACCCTGCCTGGCCCCACCCTTCTGTGTCCACTAGGCTACACGAAGCCCACAGGCTAGAACCGAAGTACAAGTTGGCTACAGGGCCTGCTGACTTACCCAGGCTTCCGCTGTCCATGGCCTCCTGCCCTCACACTGCCCAACCTTCTGAACCCCCTCCGGTAGTTCCTGTACAGGAGAGTCCTTCTGGTCCTTGACCAGAGAGAAGGCTCCCAGGGGCCGGGCACTCCCTGTGTGGACTTGGGTCTGGCCATACCTGCACATGGAGTCGGTCTGAATGCTTTCTGACTGGGCACATTGTCCTGGCACTTGCTACCCTCATGCTACCCTCAGCAAGTGCTTTTTTAACAGGAGATGCCCCTCTGAACATGGCGTACTCGTGCAGGCTGAGGCTAGCCTGGCGAACTCACACATCCCACGGGAGACCCTGAGAGCTGACCTTGGGTGCACGTGGGATAATGAGTTCCCAGAACTCAAGTCTTTGGGGTTCTACACAGAGCCTGACCGCACTCTTTGGGACAGTGTTTGTGCACAGGACTATGAGTGATTTAAAGGGGGGTAGGGGCCAAAGCCTATGATAGGGAGGAGGGGCTCGAGTGGTCTGGACTTGGATGAAACACATGTTGGAAAGACCCCTGCCTTGGAAGTGGGAGAAGATGAAAAGGAACCATCCCAGAAGTCTGGCTACCTTAATCTCATCCAGGAGGAGTTATGGTGGCCCTGGGTGGGCCCTGTGGCCTGGTGAGAGTGCCAGGTGCCAGGTGCAGGAAGACATGCCAGGGCTGAAAAAGTAGAAAAATGAGTGTGAACAGTTCCTTTGAGAAATTTGTTTTTTAAGAGGTAGGTAGAGATATAAAGACCACAGCTCTACAGCCATTTTGCAAAGCAGTCTAGATTGAACAGGTGCCATGCTGCGGCAGCTTCATAGTGCTGCAACTTAACCCCTTGCACCACCAGGGAGGCCCCTCTTGGCTAATTTTCATCTTCACATTCACAGTCAAGACCTGCATTGATTATTATGGCCCCTTCAGAGATGACCCAGTGCCATGCTCCTCAGTGCCAGGACCAACCAGCATCCTTTGTACAGAGAGCTTGTTCCAGAACTTTGCCTGTTGTCTCACGATCCTGTTAAGGTATTTATCCTGTATTTAGCCATTAACAGATATTTCCACTAGTGCTCCAGCAGGGCCTCCGTGTGCCAGGCACTACTCTCGACACCAGGAATGCAGTAGTTAGTATCACAGCCCTGACTTTATAAAGCTAGTATTGCTGGTGGAAAAACAGAGAACAGGAAAAATAAATGTTAACTATTGTTGAGTAACCAGTCCCCTAACTCAGCAGAATAAGATAATTGCATTTATTAGCTCATGTGTCTGTCCAAGCAGCCCTGCCACTCTGAGCCTGGCCTGACTCACGTGTCCCACCAGCCGGAGCAATGGTGGTCTTAGATGGTCTCGGCTTTACCCCTTGTCCTCCAGCAGCCTGGCTTAGTAATGCTTTCATAGTTTGGGGGGCGGGAGGACACTGCAAGTGCTTTCTCAAGCCTCTCTTTGCTTCTGTCCCATTGGCCAAACAGTCACATGGTCAGGCCTTTAGTCAGTGTGAGGGGCCTACAAAGTTATAGGGCAAAGGGGGAAGTATGTGGGTAATATGGGGCCATCTGTCTGAAATGAAGCAGGGGACTGGGAAGGATAGTTTTGGTAGATACGGGCAGGACCGGAGTTTTACACAGGCTGGTAGGGAAAGTCTCAGTGAGAAAGTGGCTTTAGGGAAAGGCCTGGAGGTAGTGACATCTGAGGAAGGGGCACTATAGGCAGAAAAGCAAATGTCCCCTGAGACTAGATATTCCACTAAAATCAGGAACATATTGCGTTCACTTAGGTGGGCCAGAAGACTTAACATAACAGGCACTTAACATAACACCTCACTCTCTGAAGTCCCCATGGACAGAACTGGATATCCCAGACCTGTCCCCTCCAAAATCACAGCACACCCCAGGGTGGGAAAGTATGTCCTGGGCTGGGGCTGGGGCTGGAGCACGTGCTAATTTATAAGGCTGGCGTCCTGTTTCCCAAGAGTCATCAGGTCCAATTCTGGCTCCGAGGCAGGTCAGCTGGTGCAGTTGTGTTTATGCCGCGTGGCAGACCTCCCCTGCCAAATAGCTGATTGGAATCAGCATAGGCTGGAGTCCAGAAGCCTGGTCTGCGTCCTTTCTGGGACATGGGGATCCAGAGAGCTGGACCCAAGAGCCCCATGGGAAGCTGAATTCTAGGGGTGTGGAGAGGCCTGGTGGACAGTGACATCTTGACTACACACACACACACACACACACACACACACACACACACACACTCTGAGGGACTGACTCACACCGTTATAGAGGCTTGTGAAATCCCATGATCTGCTGTCTGCCAACTGGAGGCCCAAGAAAGCCAGTGGCAGAGTTTAGCTCAATCCTGAGAACTAGCCACCGTCCAAGGGAGGCAGAATAGCTGTCCCAGCTCAAACAGAGCAGATTTGCCCTTTCTGGTCCCATGTATATGTAATCACCTGCTTTTCTTAGTCCACTGATTCAGATCAGTGACTCTCTTCTGGAAACACCCTCACAGGCATGCTATTAGCTTAGTCCAATCAGGAGACACAGAAAATTAGCCATCCTGAAAATGTGCAAAATTAGGGGATCTGGACACAGTTTGTGGGTTCTTCACCAGTGCATACACAATTGTAAGACATGGCTCAATCTCAGGGTACAACAGGGTTTATTTACAAAGGGAGAGTGAGATAAGAAAAGACTTCCTAAGGCCACAGATGGCCAGCTGTCCTACCCCCGGGTAGTATCCACTGTGTCCAGTAGTCCAAACCAAAAGCTGCTTATGCAAGACAGTGTTGACCCTCCAATGAGCCTGGAACTGGTGGTATACTGGTAAGCGGTGGACCAGGATCCAGCCAACCTGTGGCAGCCGGGCAGTTGCACCACTGAGGCTATCCCCCTTCAGCATCATTCCTGAAACCGAAAGTCAATTCTCCTGAATCTTTTTCCAAGCCGAGTCAAACCTTCCCAAAACAAGTCAATCCGCTCCTAAGTCTCTGCTTAAATCCTCCTTCAGGGCAACTGCCTTTCAAATATGATGGGTCCATTTTTCAAACTGGATGTTTCCAAGACTTAAGGGTCCTGGTGCAAGCTTGCGCCTAATTGTCAGGGGGAGACCAGACTTGGCTCATTTTCAAAACCGGCTCAGGATTCAAAACATAAACCCTGATAGTATCCATTCTGCCCTGCACCCTCTTACCTAAGCTCTGCTGTATCTGAATGGCGCTGGCCAGGTTCCCTGACCTCATGTCTCCAAACCTACCATGGGTCTTTTTCTCTTTTTCGTAAAACCCAGACATGGTTGCACCCAAACAAGGCTGTACCAGACATGCTTGATCCAGGGGCCTGCTGGCCATCGGACCTGACTACCATGGCATGGTCCAGGCTGATGTGGCTCAGCTGGGGGCCCTGGTGCATTCAGAAAACCCAGAGCCATGAGGCTGCTGGTGGGTTTCTGCTCTCGGTAGTCAAATGGTCCCCAGTGACAGCACTTAGTGACTTCCCTACACTGCCAACACCAGGAGGTTTTTAATCTTTGAGAATTTGGTATAGGAAAAGTAGCACTAGTATATTTTCATGCTTTTTAGTGAGGTCAACATTTTTGTCTGTTTCTTGACCACTCACATTTCTTCTTTTGTTAATTGCCTGATTATACCACATTGTTCACTGTAAAAAGTGGAAACAAAGTCAAACCATTGCCTCTGAGGCCTTCAGATGTAAAGAACTTTCTGTAATAGCTCCCCTATGTCTACGACATATTATTTTTCAGACACAGGTTTTCAAGTTTATCTCAACGAGTCCTTGTACCATCACACGAGTAGTCATAGTATCATTATCATTACACCCCTTTGCGCTGTCACCTCAAAAAAGCAACCAGCTAGTAAAGCCTGATTGCTTGGTTACAAGGTTCCTTGGAAGCAAACAACAGAAGAGTCGGGCAGATCAGTGAGTTGAGACAGTCAACTTCTGATGGCTCTCTCTCACCCCGCCCCTTTATGCCCTCTGAGGCACAGTCCTCAGTGCTGCTGGACAAGGATACACTGGGAGAATGTGAGGTGTTATGGGTTCTTCAGTTTTCTGACCTGTAAGTGCTATGTACTCTCCCAACTTCATTTAAACAGGGATCTGAACATTAGTGGTGACAATACGGAGGAGAGAGACCAGGCTCCAGAGAAGCCATAGGCCAGGGCTATCTCTTCTGATGCCCACCTTCTCACAGAGGGCTTGTAGATCCTTTTCCAGGGTTTTGTTCACCTTTTAATTCCATATTCAGTATATTTTGTTTTTCATTTTCAATATATTTTGAACAGAAGGCTGAAACTTTTATTGAACTAAAGCTCTATCCTTTCTACAGTTTGTTTAGAAAGGCTTACCTATGAAGAAAATAAACAGATTCCTGTTTTCTTTTAATACTTTGAGTTCTCTTTTAAAACCTACATCTTCAACCTATTGGGAATTCATTTAGATGAAGGTATGAGGTAGTGTTGAACATTCTTTTTTCCACCATACAACGTTTTGGATGCTCCTTTCCCCTCAGACCTCACAATGGGCTGATTGTCACACCACGTTGCCACGCGCCCTTTCCCAGATCTGGGGCTGCAGAATTACTCACAGTGCTGGAAGTCTGCCTCCACCCCCGCAGCACCCCCTTGGCTGCGGTGACCCCCTAGTATTCCCAAGGGCTGGGCCCTGTGGTAAGTGGAAAGAATTTGGCAAACTCTGCTCGCTCAGCAATCCAGGCCTGGGGAGTTGGGTGGGGGTGGGGGGCCAGAGGGGTATGGAAAATCACAAACGATTTTCAAGTTTTTAGAAACCAAGAAAATTGTTTCGCCAGTTGTGTGGATGGCTAGACACTGTCTGGGGTGATCTCAGATCCCATGACTCTGGGAACCACACTCTTTACAGGCTCCAGCAGTCTCACCCCATTGGTAACCTCCAAACTGCAGGCAAGGATGCCTTTCTGGAGGCCTCTCCCAAGAGGGAGGAACACAGGAAAGAGGAGGGCCTGGGTCTTTTTCCTTTGGTTCTTACAGGCAGACCTGGGAGTCCAGGAGATCAGGAGAAGCTGGTGCCTGATCCAGGGGCCTGCCGGCCACAGCTTCCAGGGACTTCAGTTAGATTTTCCCCACCCCCCCAACATCACCCCCCCAGTCATCCCAGACAGCTGGGCTGTGGAGGAAGGCCCCTTAAAAAGACCTGCTCAGGCCTCTGTCAGTATCTCTGACCCACCTCTCCCCACATCTGAGCTATTGCCTCTGACATCCTGGGTGCCCTGAAGAGCCTTCTCCTGGCCTCCCAGGCTCTGTTGCTCCTGCTTTCCCTGGTCCTGGAGTCCTCAAGTCACCCTAAGTAGAATTCGGGCTCACTGGCCCTGTTAGCAGGGGAGGCACCAGGGTGGCTCCTAGTGATGCTCAGGCCTCAGGGGGAGGAACTGGTACCCCTTTCACCCCTTGGTCCTGTGGAGACTGAAGAACCCAGATGGAAAAGAGCATCGAGTCCAAGTTCAGAAAGTCTGGCCTGGACCTTCCCCCTCACTGACATGCTGTGACCCCTGCTCATCACTTCTCAGTCTCAGCTTCCTCACTTAGAGACAGGCAGGGTAATGCACGCCCTCAGTAAGCATCAATCACACGTGCAACCTTAAATACAGGTGACAGGCAGGAAGGGTCAGAGCCTAGGGACAGTCTCCTGTTGGCAGGACACCTTTTCCCTTTCTCACAGGGCAGGACCCCACTTCACAGGGGGTCAGTACCCTCCTCCAGGCCTCTGTGGGTTCTCTGGTTGGGGGGGGCGGGCAGTCACTGACTTGCTTCCCCACCCCCACCTCACCCCCACCATTCACCAGATGAATGCCTTTAGAGGAATATACATCCATGAAGTCTAGGCCTTGCTCAGGGCAGCATCTTGTTAAAAACTTCACTCATAAAGAACAACCAGTGAGCCAATTAGGCACAGTCAGAGACACGCACCCACAGAGGGATAGATTGCCCGGGGACACAGAGGTGAGGGGCCTGGTGCTGTGGAGGGCGTAGGGGTAGGAGAGGGACTGGAAGGTGGAAGGTGGTGAGATCACAGACTTTCTGGAGTAAGGCAGTCTCCTGCTGAGAAGGTTGCCAGAGCTGGCAAGATACATGGGGACTTCTTTTCAGGCACCCAGGAAGCTGAGATGTGGTGCCCCTGGATGCAGGGATTCCTACTAAAACCTTTAGAATAGACACGTTCTCTGAGAAGCCCAGATGTGTGGCTCTTCCCTAGACAGGCCAGCAAAGTCTCCAGGACATGGAACTCTGGCCTCCTCCTTAAGCCTTTGGCGCTGTGAAGAGGGAGTGCTTAAATCCATCTCCAGCTCTGTCTCTCCAGTTTATGGGGAGGTATGATCACCGCATTTGAATGGTGGGAACCCTGAGGTCCAGTGGGGAGGGGGAAGTGGGAGAGCCCAAGGTCACCAGTGAGCTCATGGCAGGGACTGACCCTTAAGCCTCCCAAGGTCCAGGCCAGTGTTACCTTGAGACATGTTGCAACACAGATGCTATCCCTGCTTGATCAAGAAGGCTGTCTGAATGACAGACCTTGCTACCAGGGGCGGACAGCCCTCCATGATCATCTAGCCCCCTTCACTTATAGCCTGAGAGACCCCAGTTATTAAGGGTCACAACTTTATGACTGGCTTATGGGATGGGTGGAAGAAAGTAGGAAACTCCTCTCCCTCCTGTCCCAGGCTCACCCTGGGGTTTCTTTCTTTCTTTTTTTTTTTTTTCATGTTTTTATTTATTTATTTGTTTGTTTGTTCGTTCGTTTTGTTTATACATGCACTGGGTACAGTCAGAAGCGCGGGAGGGTGAGAGAATTCACCAGAGCCAGAGCGGGGAGCAGAGCAGGCAGAAAGACCGAAGTACACTGCTGAGGGGAGCAGCGGGCGGCAGGAGAGGTCTGCGCGCCATGTGGGACCCTCCTCCGGTGGCCGAGGAGCAGCCGGGGATCGAACCGGCGCCGCAGAGGTCGCCGGCAGCTTTGCAACCCAGCGCTCAACCACTGCGCCACCGGGGAGGCCCTGGGGTTTCTTTCTTAACGTGGGGAATGAAACTATGGCATCTGAAGGCATGAACAAGTCAAGCCTTATCTAAATCAAAGTTTTGATTTCTCATTCTCTATACAGCATCTTCCCTCCTCATCCCTGTGGGACTGACCCCACCATAATGGGACAAGGGTAAGTTCCTCACCTTCCCATTCCTGCTCAATCTCCTCACCACCTCCCTATGTAGGACCTTTGGCCCCCCACTGCCCCCTGCTGGGGGCAGGGACACAGGTGTAACTGAAAGGGGAAAGTGCTAAGTGCCCCAGGTGACAGCTTTGCCTACACGTGCCCCTGCCTTCCACTGCACCTTTGGGGCCTTTACACTGCCCGTTCTTCATAGGCTGGCTTCCTTGCTAAATTTTCTGGTGCTCCTTTTCCTGACTCCAGGTGAGGGCAACCCTTTCATCTCTCTTTCCTGGTGACCTCCCACCATGGCAGACCATCCACCTTCCTAGAAAGTTCTCTCTAGATGGATCTCAGAGGTGTGCTTATTGCCCAAGAGCTACTCAGGACAGAACCCCATTGGAACCGGGGTGAGACACAGGCACACCCCTCCCTCTGCCCCACAGGCCTTGCTGTCACACTGCTGCAGGACAGCTCCACTCAGCCTTTGGGCTCCCCCAAGAAATCTAGTTCCCACTCTGTGGGGTAGGCCCTCCCATCTTCCTTCTGCCCAGCAAGCCCAGTCCTGCTGAAGCCTCTTGGCAGATCCTTATTGGGAGGAAAGGAAAGACCTTGCTTACCCCTAGGAAGCTGGAGGTGGGGTTGTGGTAGGGAGCCCCAGTGTGTCGAGCAGACTCCCTGGACTAGCTCATGAGAGCACTTGGACATGGATACAAATACCCTGCCTGGTGGCAGGGGGCACTAGACCCTGGAAAGGAAGTGACAGACACAAGAGGCTGCAAGTCTCCCACCCTTTGATGCCCATCCTGGGCTGGGATGCTGTTTGGGTGGGTTCAATTTAGATGCTGTGCTCCTGGCAGGCCCTGGCTGCTTCTCTCACTCAAGCAGAGCCCAGGATCCAGGCCTAAGGCATTTCTGGATATGGGTCTTAGAGAAAGCTAAGTGGGGTCCGGCCCCATCCACCAACGAGCAAATAATGGCTGGCATGGACAATACTTGCCCACACCTGAAAACTAGAGATCCTGACCCCCTGGTCCTCCCTGGGACTCAGCTCCCCATGAGGCCTTTACTTATGTTCCCACTGGTGACTACGTGAAGAAAGGTTCTTTCTATTCTTTTTAATTTTTTTTAATGACTTTTATTTTCCCTGGCAGAGGATGCTGGGTCCAAATCTGATCCATGTGTGAACCAGCTGATTTTGGAAGCCTTTCCAAGGGAAGTGACACTCCACAGCCTCCGCTCAGCCTTGGGCCTTCCTACTTAACAGCACTCTCAACTGGGGGCAACAGAGCAAAGACAAGGTTTCAAGAATGATGATTCAGAAGCTTGAAGAGGACATTTATGGGAAAAAGCTGGCTCTATCCCTAATGCCACCAGGACCAGCTTAGACAAATAACAGGGAGAGGAAGGCTCACGGGACCAGGAGGTCTGACTGGGGTGGGATTAAGAGCTTATGTGGGTGGACTTGGCTCTGAGGCAGTGAAAAGAGCTGGGAGCTGGTGGGTAGCGAGTGCTGAAATCACACTAGGCACAGAACAGGCAGGCCCCATTGGATGGCCAGGAGGGGCAGAGCTGGAATTTGGGACCAGCTCTTGACACAGCCCCAATGCCTTTTTAAGTATGTAGGCAGACACGTAAGCAGTGAGAAGCTAAGGGGGGTACTCTGCAAGGACAGAGGAGAGGAAGCAAAGCCGTGCTGCTCCCAGACCCAGCAGCCCACACAGTGCTCCCTGTCTGCTAAAGGCCCGGCCACGCACCCTACCTCCTTTCCCTATTTCCTTTAAACTCAAGGCCCAAATTCTGCCTGTCAGTCATCCCAGGCGAGGGTTCGCAGGAGCTGCCCTAAAAATCTTCCCTTGATCTTACCTGGGCTGCTGCCTCCCACCCTTTGCTTGAGTCCTGGTTTGGCATCCCCCTTATGTTAGTGGGGGTGCAGGGATAGGCAAGACACACCTTGAACTTATATGAAAATCACTGAGTCCCCTTTTGGCACATTCCTATGAGTTATACACACAATTTAATGCAATGTGAAAGCACTCCAGCTGTGCGCTGGCCAAACGTGGTCTTGTGTACTGGGACTTGGGAGGTTTCTTGGACATCTGAACGAAAGCTGGTGACAGTTCACACATTTGCTTGGCCAAGGCTCCAGGGAAGGGAGAGTGGGTTGGCCAGGTGCCCTCAGGGGCCTTCTGCTGTCCCCAAGATGGGGAGGGTCCCTGAGGTTCAAAGTTGCCGGTGATTTGGCTCTCCTATCAGGGGTCCTGGGCACCTCCAGAGGGGTTGGTGGCAGTTTCGCTTCCAGGGACTCCCATCCTCAGGACCTCCTACTCCCTCCCACACTGCTTCCCCTCAGGCCCTAGGCGCCCATCCCCTGCACCCCAACCCGCAGAATCTACTTCCTAGGCTCAGGCTTCTCCCCAGGACGCCGCCCGCAGTTCCCGCTTTGGGAAGTGCCAAGCGCACGGCAACGTGAAGGGTTACTCCCCCTCCTACCCCGCCACCAGCCCCGTAGTCCACACCCAGCTCCAACTCCTCCTCCCCCGGGGGTGGGGTTGGGGGGAGCCGGCTCCGGAAACCCCCGCGCCCCTGCTGCTGCAGCCGCTGGCGTTTCGGAGAGGGCGGTCCGCTCTGGAGCGCGCCACTCAGGTCTGGAGCTCGAACTGCCGCCGGCGCCTGGGAATCCCCCCCGCGAACTCCTCTGAGACCCCATCGACTTCGGAGTCACAGCCCGGCCCCGAGCTCCCCGCGCTCCACCCGGGACCCGCCAGCCTGCCCCTCTCCCGAGCCCCTCACCGACCCCCGGAACCCCGGCCTCACCGGAGCCCCTCCCCGCCTCGCCCCTCCCTCCCCCTTCCTCTCCCGCTCCTCCCGCCCCTCCCCCGGAGCCCCCGGAGTCGCCCCCGCGCGAGCTCCGGCCATGGGGACCGTGCGCGGGGCCCCGGTGCTCGGCTGTCTGCTGGCTCTGCTGGCTCTGTTCCCCGAGGGGCACCCACAGACTGTGCTGACAGACGACGAGATCGAGGAGTTCCTCGAGGGTTTCCTGTCAGAGCTGGAGCCGGAGGCCCGGGAGGACGACGTGGAGGCTCCGCCAGCCCCAGAGCCCACACTGGGCAATCGCAAAGCCCAGACTGGGGGCAAGCCAGGGCCACGTCTGGGGATGGCCAGAGAGGGTAAGAGCCCTGAGCAGGGGTGCCCCAAGCATGATGGGGGGCTCACTCACGGGTGCCTTGCACCTTAGGTGAGAATGGAGGCCTCAGCAAGGTTTGGCCACTGTCCAGTCTTCCCAGTGAGGAGTGACTCTGTAAGGCATTCGAGCCCAGATGTTTGGCCAGAAACTACCAAACAGAGGTCCATGCCACCGGTAGCCTTTGGGTCTGGAGGCACATCCAGCAAATCCGCTGCCCTTGGCTTGGGTTGGCCCTGGCCCCCGGCCCGGCCCCCAGACCCACAGAAGAACGAGGCTTGAGCCAACAGGGTGGGTTGCTTCTTCCTCTCCAGGTCTGTGCCACAGCCTTGTGACCTACTGGGGCCACTCAACCAGTGTGTGGCACACACTAACTATGTGCACACTGCTGCCAGAGTCCCAACCTCAGGCCTTCTCTGGAAGGGTTCCCCAGCACCCTCCTGCCTGGTCATCTACTCTAGGAGCAAGAGGCAGCTGAGGGGGGTGCAGAGGACCCCTCCCTGAAAGGTTTCCAGGTAGCAATGGATAGTGGGCAGTCTCTGGTTATCATGAGCGTTAAATGAGGTGATGCGTCACCAAGGCATTCAGCTCAGGGCCTCTTACATAATCAGTTGCCCATAAATCTTAGCTGTTTATCCTTCTGGAGGGTGGCAAGGGTCTTGTTGATCTCTGTCTCCCAGGGACTCCAAAGCACCAACCATCATTCCTGAGGCCAGCAGGACCCACCACCACCTCCCTCTACCTCTACCGTCCTCTGCCCATCCCCTGGCTTTCTTGGGCTCGTGGATGCTGCTGTGGCAGCCCTGTTTCTCCTGGCTGTCTGCATTTTGTAAATTCTCTTGGTTTCAACTTTGTGGACTCTACCGCCCATTAAATTCTCAACAGCATTTGCTCAGAGTCCTGGAGGATTCCCACTGTAAGCCAGCCCCTGGCCTGCTTTCTCCCTCAGACTCTGAGATGGGCAAGCAGATGTAGCTCCTGCCTGCCCCTCTGCCCACTGTGAGACCCCAGGGTCCCTTATTGATCCCACCCTGGACCCTTTTCTTCTTGATAGTGAACCATTTCTTGAAGTTTCTCTTGCCACTGCAGGTAGCTTCAGGGAGACTCCAGGGCCCATGCCCTTTACTTTGTATGGTAGTTGACAGGGATGAGACGGCCTCCCCCTTGGATTGGGTGCTCTCCCGGGCTGGAGGGCTTTGCCACTTGTCTGCTCTTTCCATGCCCGGCAGACAATTGCTGTCCATGACTGCAGAGAGGGCATGCAGTGAAGGATTGGTCTCAGGGGGGTCTTCATTGAGGTTTTGGCAGATGGGAGGGTAAAGGCTTAGTCCCTGGGACCTGAGCCACTCAGGCCAAGACGTGGTGGTGACAGCATAGATTGCAGACAGAAATCCTTTCCCTGCTACAAGGCAAATGACTTAACGTCTCAGTTTCCTTATGTGGGAAATGTGAGACTAACAAGAGCCCACATTGTCAGCCTCTTGGGGGTGGGGTTTGGGGTGGGGGCACATGGGGCATGAAGTGGGCTCTCCACGAGCTTGACCTAAATCTGCATCTTGGTTAGCACCTCCAGAAAAGGCTAAAGACAAAGGAAAGAAAGGGAAGAAAGACAAAGGCCCCAAGTCCACCAAGCAGTCCCTGGAGGGGGCCCCCAAGCCACCCAAGAAGCCCAAGGAGAAGGCACCCAAGGCCACCAAGAAGCCCAAGGAGAAGCCACCCAAGGCCACCAAGAAGCCCAAGGAGAAGCCACCCAAGGCCACCAAGAAGCCCAAGGAGAAGCCACCCAAGGAGAAGCCACCCAAGGCCACCAAAAGGCCCCTGGCTAAGAGGCCCCCCACTCAGACCCCCCCAGAAAATCCACTGAGGCCACTCCCTAGCCCCCGTCTTGAGGAGCTGCCCCAGGAGGGAGGTATGTGCCTTACTCTTCTGGAGTTGTGGGGCTCTAGCCTGCTGGGCTATGGGAAGGAAGCGGTGAGGGCAGGTCCCTGCTTCCTGCAGACCCTCAGTGCCCCCAGGACCTCACTATTGTCATGAATTTGGTGACTCAGTTGGGGCTACCTCAGTGCCACAGCCTCCTCTGGGCATGGGTGGGCTTCATCAGTGGGTCTTTTATTTTTATTTTTTTTAAGAATTTTTTTTTGGTAAGATTTATTTATTTATTTATTTATACAAGCACTGGGTACAGTCAGAAGCGTGGGAGGGTGAGAGAATTCACCAGAGCCAGAGCGGGGAGCAGAGCAGGCAGAAGGACCGAAGTACACTGCTGAGGGGAGCAGCGGGCGGCAGGAGAGGTCTGCGCGCTGTGTGGGACCCTCCTCCGGTGGCCGGGGAGCAGCCGGGGATCAAACCGGCCCTGCAGAGGCTGCGGGCAGCTTCGCAACCCAGCGCTCAACCGCTGCACCACCGGGGAAGGCCCCATCAGTCGGTCTTGCTCCACTTCTGGGATCTATCCCTGGGCCCCACCCAGAACCTATGTGTTGCTTAACTTAGAGCCTGTAGGGTGCCCTTCAGCTGGGACAAAGTTGTATCAGGGCCTCCCAGACAGCAAGGCCTGGGCTCGCTAGAAGGCTGTCCTGCTCTCTGGACCCAGGGAGACCAGCCAGGTGCTGGGAGCTAGAGCAGCCCAGGACCCTGGGAGTGAGCTGTGGTTTTGAGGTATCACAGGGCCCAGATCTTGTAGAGGCTTTATGTGTAGCTGACGTGAGATGTCAGAGACTCTCTCTGATGTGAAAGACTTAGTCTCTCATGTGGATAGGGCAGACTCTTGTCTGGGGTTTGTGTTGCAGATCCCTGGCAGGGTCCAGGAGGAGAGACTGATGTGGAGCACCAGCCTGGTGAGTGAGCATCATCCACCTGGCCTCAGGGGACCAACCAGCCTGGCTTTCTGGGTTTCCAGGGTTGCCTGGGTGGGGGTATCAGTTAGTATCTTCAATAAGGTGGCCATGATTATTTCCCTCCAGAGCCAGAGACCGAACTGCCCACACTGGACTACAATGACCACATAGAGAGGGAAGACTATGAGGACTGTGAGTAGGACCCCACCATGCTGGGGCACTGCCTGGTCCCACCTGCCCCATCTGGATCTGGATCCCTGATGGGCCACCCAGAGGCACCCCCCCAGCCTCCCCTCCCCTTCCCCCAAAATCCCCCTCACCCTCACAGGAGGCGACTTGGCCCAGCTCAGCTCAGACCCTCCTCCCTCTCAGTTGAGTACATCCGCCGCCAGAAGCAGCCCAGGCCGCCCCCCAGGAGGAGGAGGCCTGAGAGGATCTGGCCTGAGCGTCCTGAGGAGAAAGCTGAGTCCCCGAGGCTGGAGGTCGAGACACCAGAGGAGAGGATTGGTAGGATGGGGGCAGACAGGGAGAGGAGGGGTGCCAGGCACAGGAGCTCTGAGCCCACACCTGCCTCCCACCCCCACAGAGCCACCTATGAAGCCGATGCCCGCCCCGCTGCCCCCCAGTTATGAAGATGGCTATGTGATCCCAGACTATGACAACAGTGAGTGCTCAGGGCCCTTCCCACCACATCCCGGGCCCGCCCCGACCACTCTGTAACTCCAACTTGCTGGTAGTTACCTAGCTACCCCCGAGTGTCCCACACATGCCCACCCTCATCTGATCTCCTCCCTTCAGGCTGGCCCTTACCCCCTACCTTCCTGGTTCCTGACTTTGTTCTCCCCCAAGGGTATCCTAGGGCATGTTGCCCTTTCTCCCTGCCTGTGGGCTCCCTGCCAGCTTGCTTCCTGGGATTCCCACCCCTTCAAGGCTGGCACCTTCCTTCCCCCCCGCCTCTGCATATCCTATTCTCCCTTCCTAAGCTTCAGCCCTGAGCAGGTTCTTGCCCTTTCCCTGCCCCCCCAACCCCAAGACTACCTCCCCCCTAGCCACAGTTGCCAGCTGTCACTCAAGGCCTGTTCTGTGCCCAAATCCCACTCTCGGTCCGTCCAGCTTTGTCCCACCTCTCCCAGACCAGACTCTCCTGGTGGGCTAGACTGGTGACTTCCCCCGGGGTCTTGATCATTCCACCTGGGTCCAGGTGGCCTCCCCCTCCTCCCAAAGGACCCTACCGTCTTGGCCTGTTTGAATTTTTCAGGGCCCACCCCATCCCACTTCCTTGTCTTGCTCTCTCCCTTCCGCCCGTCCTACCCGCTGGCTCCTGTGACTCCTGGAGCTCCAGTTCACAGTGTGAGTCTGGGAGCAGCCTTGGGCCACCTCAGCAGGGCTCTCCCTCCCTGCAGTGGACTATTACTTCCGGCCTCCGCCGCCCCAGAAGCCAAACCCTGAGCTGGAGACAGATGAAGAGAAGGAGGAGCTGAGTGAGTGAAACCAGGCTATTCCCACCCCTGGCCCCAACACACTGCGAAACTGAGCCCCCACCTGCCTGCCTCCATCTTGGCCTGATCCCAAACTCATATGCTCCCAGATCAGACCTGTACCCTCAACTGTCTCTAGTTCAGCAGACCTGCAAACCACCTGCCCCCGGCTCAGACTCCTACCCCCGCAGGCCTCCCAGTTCAGCTTGATGCCCATTTCCACATGTTCCTGAAAATCCAGAGCTAACCTG